GTGTGTGTGTGTGTGTGTGTGTGTGTGTGTGTGTGTGTGTGTGTGCGCGCGCACATGCGCGCGTGCACGCACGCGTGTGCCTGAGGGCCAAGGGTCAGCACTGGGTGTCTTTATCAATTGCTTTACCTCTTATTTTTGGGGAAGGATCTTGCACTTAGCCTGGAGCTCACGAGTCTGATCGGCTACCTGGCCAGTGAGCTCCAGAATCTCCTTGTCTTCAACCCCCACCCCACCCCAACCCCGCCGCTGGGATTCCAAGCACACACAGTCACATTCAGCTTTTACATACAAGTTGTACAGCTCACGCTCAGGCCTCACACTCGATAGGCAAGCACTTTATTGCCTGAGCCTTCTCCCTAGCCCTCTACTGATCCTTCAAGGGCTAAAGCTTTGTCGGAGGGCCAGAGTACAGTACCGCCTGCTCCTTTAGGGCTTCACATAGCAGCTGCTGAGGCTTCCTCCTTGGCGAAGTCAGCAACTTCATGGTACAGTTTAGCTGGTGGCTGAAGTTCACACTCTTGCCCCTCCTTTCTTCATACCCCACACTGGGAATCTTGATGCCTCAGACTTCTGTGTCCTAGCTGTTTCCAGAAGTTAACATAAGAAATACCCAGACGCTGTTGGGAGCGGATGGCCGATGGTGTCTTTGCACTCACAGGGAGAACAGAACTCATTTGGCTTTACATCTTGTCTAAGGCCTTTAGAAGCAATCCTGTGTTTAGTTTGGACTTTTCTGTTTCCCCTCGCAAACACCTTGTGCTGTATGGTCGGCCAATTTGAGAAACAAAGCAATAACGCCGTCACATTTAAATATATTCCAGGGACTTTTTGTTGTTTTGCTTTACTCCCCACCCCCACCCCCACCCCGTGCCTTTTTTTTCACCCCAAAGAAACAGGCCAAATTTTTCCTCAGCAATTCAGTGACATCCTCCTTCTTCCCAGGGTTCTTTTTGCCCTGCCAAGTCTGCCTTCAAATTCCTCAGGTCTGCTGCTGTCAATAATGATTTCTGAGCGCTTGTATGTCCTTTGCAGTGAAAACCCGCCTTGTTTTCTGTTGCTAGGCAACCCCCTTCCAGCTGCCGTTGAAGACATGCGCGGTGGTGGGAAACGGTGGGATTCTGAAGATGAGTGGCTGTGGCCGTCACATAGACGAAGCAGATTTTGTCATGCGGTAAGAGAGCACCCACAGTGTGGCCTCTGAGTCCTTTCTTTTGTCCCACCCGTCCATAAGCCCCAGGCCTTTCAAACCTAGTGGCTTGCAATTAATCTGTCGCCCGTCTTTAGTTTCTCTTCAAGCCAATGTACAAGTGAGGTTATGAGAGCCCTAAAGGGAGCGAGGGAACTCCACCTCCCCCTCCTCCGAGGAATCTCAAAGCTGAGAAGGCTGGGCAGCAGCAGAGGGTAGCTCCACTGCTCCTGAGGGCAGCAGGGAGAAGAGCGAGACCTGGGATCTTCCCTGAGATTGTCTACTTGGCTGATTAAAGCCTTGCTAACGCTCTTTCCTCAGGGCTGACTCCACATGAATAAACATTTTAGTCATTGCGAGGGTACCCTTCTCTTCTTAGCTTTCCCCAGAAGCATTTGAAGGCAGCAAGTGGGATCTAAAGATTGGGTTTGGGTCTGAGTTGTGACTGTGAACGTGGCAAGAAAGATCAGCGAGGAAACCACATCAGAAGGAATCTTGATCCAGGGACTGAGCAGCATGGGAAGGTGGGGACACAGACCTGAGTGTTGGTAAAGGACAAGAGACCTTCTTCAGGGCAGTGATAAAAAACTGCTAAGTCTGACCAAGGAAAGACACCATCCAACTGCAGGCTGCTAGCCTGTGTGTGTGAGTCTGGGCAAACGCTGCCGGGGAGGCATGTAGCGCCAAGACAGCAAGATGGAATAAGGGACAGGGCCATTCGGGGTGGGGTTGTGGAGTGGGGGATGGCGAGGGAAATGGAGAATAATTAACAAGATCAAGGCTAAGCATGGCCCCTGGAGTACCAGCCCAGCTTATTGGAGACATAGTGTGGGAAAAGGAAAGCATGTCTCATCGAGGAAGCAAAAGAACATTGAGAGGCTTGTGGAATCTTTCAGGTGAACCCCAAAATTTCAAGGATGTAGGAATGACTATGAACCAGGAACCCAAGGATTCTGGAACCAGGAAGGGACTTAAGTTTGATTCCCAGCGTCTACCTAAAAGGCCGGGTGCAGATCACTAACCTCTACATGCATGCACACACATGCGTACACACACACACACACACACACACACACACACACACACACACACCATGGAGTCACATGTAGGATGTGGATGATGTTCTAAGAATTCTAGTTCAACATGGAACTCTACACTATTTGAGTGTTTCGGGTGGAGCCATTTTCCTAGACTATGCCACATACCCTCTCAGAAGAGAGAGTTACTTTGCCACCAAGACATGTTGTCTCCCTTGGTGAAACTTGTAGCAGTGGGGGTGTGGGGTGTAGGTGTGGGCCTGGGGGGTGTCCTTCCATTCCTGCCCTTCCTTCAAGAGTACACTAATGTCATTTTTCACTGTAGGATTGTGTTTTCTTCTTGACTGCTATTTATTTTATTTTACTTTATTTTTGCAATGTATACAAGTATCGGGGGAAGGCGTGGAGAGCTTTTCATTTAAGATCATGAGTGCAGCACTCAGTTCAGGAGAGGCCCTGGTGTCAAATCCTTTCCTTGTTCCATTGCAGGCTGAGGAACAAGCTTTAATAAAGCAGAGAGAAGCTTCACGAAGTGGCCTTCTCTATGGTTCCAGTGAGTGTGACTTGGGTGTCATGAGACATGGGAGAAGGTGTAGGAGAAATAAGAACATCATAGGAGTGGAATAAATCTCAGAGAAGGTGGAGGCAGACGAGGGTAGCAGGGAACCTCAGGTACCCATTCCAGTCCCTGGGTTTTCACATGAGGCTGAAAAGCTAATAAAGAACCCAGGGTTGGGAAGACATAACAACTACACGTTTGACCAGGTTGGCTCCCTACACTGTATCACGTTACCTCTGCCTAGGCCATGAGAGGAAGGATAAGGAGACATCCCTCAATTCTGATTTTATACATGCTTCTATGAATACTGCGTCATTGTCGTGTTTACGTCCTTTTCAAACCTGCAAGCTGCCCTGGATCCCAGTTCAGGAGCTCCCTCTAAACGGCAAGTGAAGAAGCAGTGTTAGCAGAGGTTGCAAGGTAGCAGCCTGGTGCAGCAGCTCCTGCAGGCCACACATAATCAAGTAGCTCCATGATTCTGTCCACCACTGACCCACCATCGTCTCAGCTGACTCTTAAGTCTTCCCTTAAATTGCTAACCTGTTCGCCCTGGAGGGTGCATACTTGCTCTCATAGATAACTATTCTCATCTGAGCTGGAGGCAGCCTGTCCTTGAGGTTGTATTTGCCTGGAACTTAAGGTGACTCAAGAGAAGGGCCAAGAACAGTAACATTTCTGCTTTAGCATCCAAAGTGTGGGCACAAGATGGGAGGAGACACTAGTCTTGCTCTCAGTGACCCTATAGCTCAAGGGGGAGTCAAACTTTTTGGCAAAAGCAGATTTTATTGCTGCTGCTGCTGCTGTGTGTGTGTGTGTGTGTGTGTGTGTGTGTGTGTGTACCATTAGGAAGATGAATATTTTCAACCTAACATGTAAAAGAGCCAGCCTAAGCACCACTGGGGATTATCTTGTGGTGTCCCATTTATCCCAAATAAGCACAACTAGGTTGGCCTTTTACACAGTCTGCTGTTGACACTGTCTATACAAGTTCAGAGCTATTGAGTGCCTGGGGGATTAGCCTGCACGTGGTCTGGGCAAATGCAGTGCGGGGAAGGGGTCTCCACATGGTCTGGTCTATACAGTGTACCCAGATGACAGTTGAAAATGTCCTCTAGGCATGTTCTTCAACCATGCCATAATGTTCTTTGCATAGACATTTTTAAAAAATATCCTTCAAAATGTTAAAAACCAACTTCCCATTTTTCAAAGTGCACATTTATTCTTTAACCAAAAGAAGCACTTTAAAAATAATCTTGTGGGGCTCAGTGGGTAGGGTACTTGCATAAAAACTAGACTTGGTAGGACACACTTCTAGTCCCAGCACTTGAGAGGTGGATGAGAAGTTTAGGGTCATCCTTGACTACATAGGGAATTGGAGACATTCCTAGGCTACAGGAGACCCTGTCTCAGAAAAAGAACAACAAATTCTTCAATTCAGTTTCTCTAGGACATTTACGAGGCAGGAGTAGTAATAATTGCCCACTGAAGACAACTGTGTGTGTAATGATTACATGCTGAAGATCGACTGCGTGTGTAGTGTTTATACACTGAAGACGACCGTGTGTGTAATGATTACACACTGAAGACGACCGCGTGTGTAATGATTGCCACGCTGAAGACGATTGCATGTGTAATGATTACATGCTAAAGATAACTGTGTGTATAATGATTACACACTGAAGATGATCACATGTGTGATTACACACTGAAGATGACTGTGTGTGTGATTACACACTGAAGACCCGATTGTGTGGCTCACAGTCACAACATGGTGACAGTTTTGGAGTCTTTTGGATTAGGTACAGAGGAATGTTCTGCATGCTTACACACACACACACACACACACACACACACACACACACACACACACAAACTGTTTTTCCTGAGTGGCGTCTTCTATTCAACACATCCCTTCCTCATCCATCTCCCTCTTCTGTTCTTGGATCTCTTTCAGGATCACAAGCATTACTGTTTTGGAAACACTTTAAGCAACTAATATCTCTCTCAATTGTGCCATCAAGCAATAATGTGAAATTTGGGACACTTTATACAATTATGCCTTGTTAGAAGCAATTTGACTGTATTAAATGGGCCTTTTATGTAAATACATGTAATTATCAATTTAGGAATTGAGGAGCTAAGCTCATAGTGCAGTTTTCCTAAGAAAAAGAGACACAGGAAGTGCCCCGCTATTGTGCTGAAAGGGCGTGTTTACAGACCAGAAGGCAGCCCGTTCACTATGCAGTGTCAGCAGTTTCCAGCAAGCCGCATGTGAAGTCCAGCTTGTTATCAGCCCCCCGCTGTTACCGTGAGAAAACCAGTTCTGCAATCTTATTGTTGCTTTGGTTTGGATTTTTATTTGTTTGTCTATTGACTCTGTTTATTGATTGACAAAAATTTTCTTGAGATTTTTACTCTGTGGTCGAAGATATAAATGGATCAGTTATATGAACCATGGAACACAGAAGAAAAAAACCATTTGTATGTGAAAACTAATTCGCTATTGGCAAAACAGGTTACGAAGACTCCCTGGTAAAGTTCAGAACCTGTAGTTAATTCTCAGACGTTAGCAAGGCCAGTTGAGATCAAAATGTCCTTAAGAGGCCTTTGTTTTATTTGGGAAGCCATCATGTCTTTGCAAAGATTAGTTAGACAGAGCAATCGCAATCCGATCCACACTACTGCTTGATGGGAACTGGGTTTTGATGATTGAGTTCACCCTTCTGCACAGCCCCTCAGGAAACCACATGCGGAATAGTGTCACCATGAGCTTGGAAGTGCTTCAAGACTAGGCTTTGTGAGCAGTTCCTTCCCAGCTTCCTACGGTGCCCACTGTTTGCTTTCAATGGATATGCAACAAGTCCGCAGCTGTCTGGCCGACCTGTGTGTGGTTATCAGAACATTCAGCTTTTGTATTACTCACAAGCAGATGAAAGGGGGACTTTAATCAACACGGAGACGTTTCCGCCTGGATGGCCTGGTGTGGCAGGAGTCACGAGGCTCGTAAGAAAGAGAAGCTGAGCGTGGGAGCAGGTCAGCTGATAGGTGTGTGGGCAGGTCCATCTCCTAGAGCACATTGGCAGGGAAAATTTAGCAGCTCACAGAGACCACAATATTTGTAACACTCATCTTTATCTATAAATAAATCATGCAAACTGGACGTGCTCTGATGTGGTAGGAGTCACGTCGTATATGTGGTTGGAGAGGAGAGACTCAACTTTTAATACAAATGCATAATTGGGTTCCTGTGTTCTTTCTGACAGGACAGTTTTGAGCTTTAGCTGTGTAAAACATCAAAACAGAGACTGTTAGCAGCGTTCTCTTAGTTCTCACTATGGCCCAGGAAGGCCGACAAAGCTGTTATTCCCGTGTCAGGCCATGGAGGAACTATGGCCAGGGAACTGCAGGAATCTCCTGGTGCCCCCAGGCAGGAAGTCACAGGTTTGTTTGTGACACAGCTGGGTTTCCCACTGTGTGCACTCAAGGCATTGTGACCAAAGGAAACTGTTAGGGCCGGGATGGAGTTTGGGGTTACAAGTGGGTTGATTGCTTTCTCTCATGAGAATATGGCACTTTTCAGACTGGGCAGATGGCTCAGCTGGTGAAGTACTAGCCACACAAGCTTGAGGATGTGAATTCCACCCAGCTAATACCCCATGGAAATAGCAAAAGTCAGGCGTGGTGACCTGTGCCTATAGTTCCAATGCCGTGGAGGCAGTGGCAGGAGGATCCTGGAGCTCACTGGCCAGCTAGTGGAGCCAGCTCAGTGAGCTCCAGGTCCAGTGAGAGGCCTTGTCTCAAAAAATAAATAAGCTGGAGTGGGATTGAGGAGGACACTTGTTGACCTCTGGTCTTCACATGTGTGCACACACGTTTGGATGTGCACTTGTATAGCATACGCATGTGCATGCACACAGGAGAGCATATCATAACACACACACACACACACACACACACACACGCAAACACACACACACACACTGCTTTTACTTTTGCCCTTGGCAGAGCAGGAATGGTACAGAACGCCACCATTCTTTGGGTGACAATGCACGTTAACCCAGCGACACCTTGGCCACATACACAAAAATCCTTCGTGCATTAGGTTAGCTGAATAGTATGTGTCCCACAAAGTGCTGCTATAATGTAAATTGCTGGAAAATAAGGAAAAACACAGGAAACAACCTAATCCATCAGTGATTTATAAAAACTGATGTAGGTAGAGAGTGTGGGGAGGGGCATCTGCCCTCTGCCTTCTGAGCCTTCCTTCCAAGTCTAAAGTACTCTGTTCCACATTTCAAATGCTGTTTCTCTTTCATCACCTATAAAGATTCATCTTATTTTATATGGATGTGTGGAAGCTTGTGTCAGTTCATATGTATCACATGTGTGCAGATGCCAGCAAAACCCAGAAGGCACCAGAGCTCGTAGAATTGGATTGACAGGCAGTTGTGAGCGGCCTTGTGGGTGCTGAGTCCTGTGTCCTCTGCAAGAGCATTAACTACTCCTAGTAGCTGAGCTGCCTCTCAGGCCCCTGTTTTATTAATTAATTGCTCTGGGACAATGATCTTTTATCTTGTCACTTGCATTATTTTTAATAAAATGCTGATTGGCCAGTAGCCAGGCAGAAAGTATTGGCTGGGTGACCAGGCAGGAAGTAATGGTGGAGCAACAAGAATTCTGGGTAGAGGGAAGTGCAGTCTGCAGTTGTGACCCAGACGCAGAAGAAGCAAGATGTGGCTGCCTTGACAAATAAGGTACTGAGCCATGTGGCTAGCACAGACAATTATTATGGGCTAATGTAAGTTATAAGAGTTAATAAGAAGCCTGAGATACTAGGCCAATCAGTTTATAGTTAATGTAGACCTATGTGTGATTTCCTTGGGACTTAATGACTGTGGAAACCAGGCAGGATAGAAACCTTAGCCAACAATTAATTAATTAATTCTACTTATTTTTATTTACTATTTATCTATTCATTCTATCTATCTACCATCTATCTGTCATGTATCTATCATCTATCTATCTATCTATCTATCTATCTATCTATCTATCTATCTATCATCTGTCTATCTGGACACAAGGTTTCATGTAGCCCAGGCTGACCTCGAATTTGCTGTGTAACCAAGGCTGCTTTGGGCTCTGTATCTTCTACCTCCCAAGTATGGGACTGCAGGTGTAGAATGCCATACTTCTGATATATTTTTAGAAAAACAGAGACATTGTCATTATCATCTCTTTTCTTTGGTAGATCATCTTCTTCCGTCACTGACATTTGCTTCTAAAACAGCAACAACAACAACAACAACAACAACAACAACACACACACACACACACACACACACACACACACGTAAAACCACATAAGCCAGAGCACTTTGGTAATGCTAATAGTTAATTAGTCATCTAATGCCCATGAAAGGGAAAGGTGCTGAAAACAGTTATTTGTGAATTGAACCAGAATTAACCTTCCTCTTTGGGTCCTTATCATCAACTTGATTTAAAAGTGCATGAGTCATTCTGAAGCGTTCCTTCTTGCGTTTCTAGATGCAATCTCCCTCCCTTGTCAAGTGAGTACACCAGAGATGTCGGCTCCAAAACTCAGCTGGTGACAGCTAATCCCAGCATTATTCGCCAGAGGTAAGACCTGAAGGTTTCTCTTTGTGGGGACTGAAGAGGAAGGTCTGTGAAGTCATCAGCGTCTTAATGAGAGTGAGCATAAGTCAGCCTCGGAAACAAAGAGGGAAGCCATCTGGACAGGCAGGAAGGATGGAGGAGGGAATCGTAAATAAGCTGGGCACTGTGGCGGGAGGGCTCAGGATTTCATGCTTCCTCTCTCTGTTAGAGACAGTGTAAAGGACAGGGGGATCAATTGTTTTGCTCGGAGCACCGCATAGCATCCTGCCCACTCAATACTACTAATATCCAGCATGCTGGCTCTGGTCCGACTTTCCGATCAGCAATTGTGAACTGACTTGTTAAACTAAAAGCAAAGAAACGACCAACTCGCCACATGCGCAATGCTTTCAGAATGTACAAGAGCTTGCGGTTACATTAGATTGTCTATACCGTATCAAACTTTGGAGGGCAGAAGGAAAATTCTTAGCAGTATCAATTTCAGAATACTTGGCAGTCACTATGGGAGCATTTGGGGGTCAGTCTCTCATGGATGAAGCCTACTGGTGAGCAAAGACTGTTTGGAAAGAAAGAGAGAGTAGGGGACCCACCCGTGAGTCTGACTACTGGATTTGAAGTGTGTTTGTTCAAGTATCCTTCAAAAATAATTTAAGAAATGCCATCCTTTTATTAACTGTTATCAGATTGTTTAGTATTTTTGGCAGGAGTTAAATTGAAGCTGTTCAGTTCCTTATGTGTTATTTATGTGCTCTATGTACCCACTGTCAAATCTCAGAGAGGCTTTTGGTATGATCTGTCGTGATGTGAAAGCCCGGGTCAGAGTACTTCCATCACAAAGTAAGTGTCACTGGATAGAATCCTCTCCCTGACACCTAATTAGTCAACATAAAATAAGGTGTGGGAACCTGTCTGGAGTCTGTCCCTGAATAAGATGAAGCACAACATATTCTGGTTTCTTCTAGAGATATTCCTGCTCCACCCCAACTCAGGGGAAGACTCCTCTGTTATGACTGTGTCCTTTTGCGGCCTGGAGGTTTGTGCAACACCAGACTTCATTCATCAACAAATGTTTTCTTTCTGTTTCTTCTCTACGTTTCTCATGTGTATGTCAGTGTGTGTCCACACCACACCACACACACACACACACACACACACACACACACACACACATACATATACACACACATATACACATACACACATATACACACACATGCACACATACACACATATATACATACACACATGCACAAACATACACACATACAACACATACACACATGCACACACAGATACACACATACACACACATGCACACATGCACACACATACACACACACACACGTGGAGGCCAGAAGTAAACCCTGTATGCATTTCTTGATTATTTTTTCATTTTATTTTCTGAAACAAACATTTTCTGATTTTTATAACTAAATTTAGAGGCAGCCGATTAGCTGGGTTGGCTGGCTAACCAGCAAAGTCACATGATTCTCACAGCCCTGTCTCCCAAGTGCTAGGGTTACCAGTCCCCACTACTGCACCTGGCTTTTATGTGGCACTGAGGATCTGAACTCAGGCCCTTCCTTGTGGGAGCAAGCACTCCACGAGTGAGCCATTTCCCCCACTTCCTAGCAAACATTTTATGATGTACTTTTCCAAAGCATTCTATGATTTTTAAGGAAAGTAACTTGGGCTTATAAAGTTTACAACAGTATCTCTCTTAAGTTTACGTGTTTTAGATGGTGTTCCGGAAATTTCCATCCCTTCTACTGACTTCTGTCTTTCTCTTCTCTCCAAATGCGGAACAGTGTTTCACTGCCAGCACCAAGGGTTAGCCATTCAGTTGAATTAGAAAGCAGACCTAAAGCTAGAATTGAATGTAGTAGAGATGAGAAAGAAAAATGCCCGAATTGAGCACAGTAGTGATGAAAATGCCCCTTGGAGGCTATGAATGCACAGCACTCAAATGAGAGGCAATGTTACACAGTCATGGGGGTCAGGAGCTGGGTGTATAGCTCTTTGGGAAGAGTGCTTGCCGACCACATACAATGCCCTGGCTTCAATCCCCAGCACCATCAAGAGATCTGCTTCTGAGTTTAATACTTCTATATGTATAACTCTGTAATAGGAGTTGTTTAACCTCCTTTCTGTTAATTATGAATAAAATTTTTCATCTCAGGACCATTGAGAAATTGAGATAATGTAACAGAGTCAATGAGATAAATCTGCCTGATGTCTCAGGTTGGACATTCCTGCAGTGGACCTCCTGCTGCAATACATACTGTTCTTGGGTTAAATGGGTTTTAAGTACATTATTAAACACATGAGAAAGTTCAAGAGCATCTACATGCTTCCCCTAGCTTCCCCAAATCCAAACACGAATCAGAAAGTAGGATCCTAAGACCTGTAAAGGTCACACACTGAAGCTTAGAAAAAGAGGCCAGGCCCCAGACTCCAAGTGCCCTCCCTGCGGGGAACCTGAGCAGTGGTTTCATGTGGTTGAAGGTCAGGAGTAGCCATCCATGCCTGATAGAAGCTCACGTAAATCCATCTGGAAAAATGCTCTCAGAGTTCTCATTTACCGTGTTCAAACAAATGCGGTCTCATAAGCAAGCCCTTCAACACACTCTGGTCACTGACAATGATCATCTTTAGTGACAGACAGCAAACAAAATAATCACCAATACAAATGCCTGAGAACTTAGAAGATTGTCATGTATGCTAAGTCACAAAATATGAATTGATTGTAGCAAAACATGATGAGTCAATAAAGAATTAAAAAATAAACAAAATTGAAAGCAAACAGATCTTCTAGAAATGCATGGAATAATTGTTGAAGTGGACTGACGTCAGAGTAGACACAGCTGAAGAGAGAACTGGTAAACTGGAAAGAAAAGCAAGGGTTTTCCCGATATGAAATTAAACCTTAAAGTACGGCTGTGGGACTACACAGTAGACATGAATATTTATATGTCTTAATAATTAATGAGCAGTATCATCTGTGTACTGGGAAGTGGATGGAGAGATTACACCTAGGGGTTGATAGCTCGTCTCACAGACAAACCATGCCTGGGAGAGCAGTGACTCTAAGAGGTGAAAAACATAAAATACTTGAAAGAAGCAGCTTAATGTAGGAAGAATTTATTCTGGTTCATGATTTGAGGAGGTACAGTGTCCCACGCTACTGTCTCGCCAGCAAAAACGACGCGGGACACTTAGGATCCTTCTGCAGAAAAGCTTTAATGCGTCTTGAGAGAGAGAGCATAAGCTTCCAAAGTGGAGACCCAGAATGAGGGGAACCCATCCCTTATATAGGAAACAGTCCTCTCTTCTGACGTGTCACTCTTGGATTGGTCCGCTGCCCATCAACCCAGATGACGCCTCGGGAGTAGGCAGGGACACAGCAGTGGAAAGTTACCAAGCACATGCGCATTATAGTCCCACTGTCTCTGCCTCCCCAATGCTGGGATTAAAGGAGTTCACCTTGAACTCACAGAGATCTGTCTCTGCCTCCCAGGCATTGGAATTAAAGGTGTGTACTGCCACACCCTGAAGTCACAGAGCTCAACTACCTCTGTCCCTTAAAGTCTCAGAGGTCAACGTACCTCTGCCTCCCAGGCATTGGGATTAAAGGTGTGTGCTACCACACCTTGAAGTCACAGAGGTCAACTACCTCTGTCCCTTAAAGAGAATGTGGTTACGGCCCTCCACAGTACAGTCAATCATGGTCAGAAAGCATGGTGATTAGATGGCAGCATGGTATCATGGCAGCAGGACCAGATTATGGGTGGTGCCGCTGGAGCTGAGGCAACCGGTGACTTTATGGGCAAATCAGGAAGCAGAGAGCTAGGGCTGAAAATAGGATTGCCTCATATATCTCAAAGCCTGCCCCAAACAACCCACTTCCCCAGTGAGACTTCCTGAAGATGTCACAACTTCCTAACTGTCTTGGTTAGGATTTCTATTGCTGTGACAAGACACCATGACCACAGCAACTCTTGCAAAGGAAAACATTTCATTGGGTGGCTTACAGTTCAGAGATCCAGTCCGTTATCCTCATGGTGGTCCATGGTGGTTGTGTGGGCAGACATGATGTAAGAGGGGTAGCTGAAGAGTCCTACATCTTGTACAGGAAACAGGAAGTCAACTGAGGCACCGGGTGTGGCTTGAGCATTGAGACCTCAGAGCACACCCCCACAGTGACACACTTCTTCCTACAAGGCCATACTTACTCTAACAAGGCCACACCATATGAGCCAGTCCGTAAGAGCTTATGGTGACTAATTACATTCAAACTACCACATTCCACTCCCTGACCCCATAGGCTTGCAGCAATATCATAATACAATATAGATTTAGTCCAACTTCAAAAGTTTCCACTGTCTATCCCAGCCTCAACAATGTTTTAAAGTCCAAAGCCTCTTCTAAGATTCATGCAATCTCTTAACTGTAATCCCTCATAAAATCAAGATGAAAAAAAGCAGATCACATACTTCCAACATAGGATAAACATTACTGTTCCAAAACATAGGGAAGGGAGCATAGTGAGGCAATACTGGACCAAAGCAAGACCGAAAACCATCTGGGCAAACTCTAAACTCTACATCTCCATGTCTGATGTCAAAACACCCTTCAGATTCCCAATTCCTTTCAGATTTGTTGACTGTGACACACTTTTTCTCTTGAGCTGGTCCCTTTTAGCAGCCCTCCACAGCAGGTATAGCCAAAGTCTTGGCATCTCCAACATCTTGGGGTCTCCAAGGCGATCCAGACTTCAACTTCATAGCTTTCTCCAGTGACCTCTCTAGACCCCTGACACATGCCTGGCCTCAGTGGCTCTCCTTAGTCACGAAGGGAGATTCCACAGTGCCTTTCTTTAGTCCTTGACTCTGAAACCAGAACTACGACCTAAGCTGTGAGGTTGTGCTGCTTGCTGGGATGACTATGACCTCCTCATTCAATTGCATCTTCACCAGCGTTCTGTTTTCCATAGTTTGCTTCAC